TCATTCCAAACCTCGAGATGTAATCAGTACCCTTTGCGATATTTGCCTATATAAGTCTGATGTTTCGGCCAAGAGGGCACTACGAGATTTGGAGAGCATTTCCCCCGCGTAGTCCCGCCTTTGAAATAATGTGGCTCCTTAATTCGACTTCTTGAGGTGTCCTTGTGTGATTCACGGGGTACAATACAACAACACGACCATTCCCAAAGCTCCTACACTTGGCAGTACCCAATTCAAGACCACCAATGGGTCAGGGCCTAAAAGAGCACCCCTCCCCCACTTTTACCTTTTGAAGATAAATGTCAGATTTTTATAAAGCCTTCTCTCTTGGCATCCCTTCTTTGTTCTTTTTTAAACTAGCCACACTTGACAATATTAGCATTGGAAAGTCAAATGCAGAATAAACTGCAACTTCCCTCCACAGCCCACCCTCACGTTCACATTAGGGTAGGTATGTCCCGTCCCATCTTAAATGCAATTCCCGCCCCTCTTTGTTTCCAGCAGTAGCTTTGGTATCCTCGTGGCTTGTAAGGAGGGTCAGATTCGAAGGCTCACACACGCCTGTGGTTCTGACAGATCCAGCCCAAGGCAGCGGCTCCTACTAAGAGCCTATAATTTCTCCAACTTCAAAATTAAGATGAGGCAAGCCAACTATACGCCATCCAAAGCTCCATGCTCCATCTGCCTGAGAACAAACCACTGCAGAGTCTGCTGAGTTTCCTCAACATAAACACAAAGCAAAACTTTACACTCTCTGACACTAACATTCTCCCTCCCTGCAGAGGCCTCCCAGCAGCGGGGGCCACAGGGCTCCCTCCTTCATCCTCCGGACATCCACTCCAGTGTGAAATTCGAAGTGAAGGTCATGGAGGCCCACAAGGCCATTTCCTTCTTCTGGGTGATGGAGAAGTGGTCAGATTTTGCTACTAGTTGCGGCTTCACAAAAATCAACTTTCCTCAGTCTTCAGAGCAACTTTTCAAGATTTCACTTCAAAACAAGAAGCCCCTAGCCCCACTCAGGTCTTCTGTTAACGTGCTCAGACCAGGACCCTCCCCTGAAAACTCCCCAGTGTTCCTCTTCTTTCCTCATCCCTGTGATGGGCCTGTGAACAGTCTTGCTCCCTCAATAACTTACAGCAGAACTCATTGAGACCTGGGGTAAAATCTGCCCTGACCCACTTCCTGATATCTTGGCTTTCATCTCACCAACAGGAGCTCTGGAGAGTGAAGCTCAAAACCACATAAAGCAGCCCAGCTGGTGTAGCTCAGCAGTTGAGCATCAGCCCAGGAACCAAGAGGCTGCCAGTTTGATTCCTGGTCAGGGCACATGCCCGGTTGCGGGCTTGATCCCTTGTGGGGGGCATGCAGGAGGCAGCCAATTGATGATGTTTCTGTCTCATCTATGTTTCTTTTTTTTTTTTTTCCATCTATGTTTCTATCTCTCTATCCCTATCCCTTCCTCTTTCTCTAAGAAAATCAATAAAAACACATTAAAAAAAAACAACACCTGCCCTGGTCAGTTTGGCTCAGTGGATAAAGCGTCAGCCTGCGGACTGAAGGGTCCCCGATTCAATTCTGGTCAAGGGCACATGCCTCGGTTGCAGGCTCAATCCCCAGTAGAGGATGTGCAGGAGACAGCAGTCAATGACTCTCTCTCATCATTGATGCGTCAATCTCTCTCCCTCTCCCTTCCTCTCTGAAATCAATAAAAATATATTTAAAAACAAACAAACACATAAAACAAAGCACAGCAAAAGCTTTAGCCATTCACTTCCCAGATGTCTGTCTACTGCTGACGGGTGGTTGGGAGGGTAGGTGGTCAGGAGGAGTGGGAAAACAGAAACCTTAGGACACAAAGAAATAATGCCTTAAAAATACGTTTAGACAAAAGAATATTTTTAAGTCATGACAACAAACTCAGCAATCACATTCAGCATTCCTACTAGAGACAACTGGAACTCGAATGGGCAGCAGAGGCTCCACCAATGGAGCACTTGGGGCCACATCCAACACTGCCCATCTCTGCACCCACACAGCAGTCACAGGTCTGAACCCCACCAAAGCCAATGAGCAACCCAGTCCAAGCAGGGGCAGAGCTGGGATTTGCAGCCAGGGCCGTCTAATTCAAAACCCTGTGCTCTTTCTACCAAACCATAGTCGACTTGGACTGACTGCCCTCCTCTGCCCACCAACGGAGCTGCTGCCCCAGACCCAAACTGGTGGTACAATTTCTGCTGCCCCCTGACACAACCTCCATCGGGCTAAATATCACAATTCTAACTAGGTAGCAAAGTTAACTTGGGCAGGGCTCAGCATCCCACCAGAACGAGGGGCGATAAAGACCACCTAACACAGCTGCTAAGAGGACGTAGCTGTGTCTGGACCCTGCTGGTTCGTCTCATGGGCTGGAAAGAAACCTGCTCCTCTGTAAACTCCTGCGGCCGAGAGGATGAGTGGGATGGGTCAGTGGTGCTCAGGGAAGTGAGAACAGCAGCAGCAGGAAGATTTCAACGCCCACTGGGAGGAGAGAGAAGTCACCCAGGCCCGCAAGAAGGGGAGAGAGCATGAGGCAGGAGCCCCGCAGCTTGGCTAGCTCGAACTCAGGAACCGGAAACAGCTGTTTCCGCTACTCCATCTGCCCCGAGAAGGGTGTGAACTTCTGCAGCCAGCCAGCCAGGGCATAATCAAGACTTAAATAGACCTATTATTCACACCCTTTGGCTCCTGTCTTACCAAAAAAACTGTCCCACACAGGACTGGACATATACTAAATGACAAAACGAGGCTCTGAGAAAGCTTGTACTCAGGGCTGAGCAGGCATGGATGCTGACAGAACTATTTAAGTGACATCTTTTAAATATAGGGTCCTCAGCTTGCAAAGTAGGCCAATGGCGGGACTTGCCATCTCCCTTCCCCTCCCTGGCCGGGAAAAGTAACATCTATATTTACATTCGGGAGCTAAATTGTAAGAATGAAAATTTAAAATATATAAAGACAGTATTCTGTGTCATTCCTTTTTTGTTTTTTCATCCTCACCGGAGGATGTTTTTATAATTTTGAGAGAGAGAGAAAGTGACAGAAAGAGAGAAACATTGGCATGAGAGAAACATCAATTGGTTGCCTCCCATACCTCTCCCGGCCAGGGGTCAAACCTGCAACCTAGGTACCTGCCCTGACCGGGAACTGAACTTGTAACCTTTTGGTGTATGGGATGATGCTCCAACCACCCGAGCCACCGGCCAGGGCTCTGTGTCATTCCTTTAAATGAGACTGAGACATGGGCTCAGCAGACAGCACCGTGTTCCAGAATGTCACAGGGCCAACCAGACTGGTCAATGGGACAGGCAGCTGGGAGGCAGAGGACAGCTGTGTGCACAGCTGTATTCCCATCATCTCCTCCCCCAGACACACAGTGTAGAAGAGGGTACCTCGCTCTCTGGCCAAGTCCCAGCTGCAAACAGCGGGCCACTGATAAGAGTCCCGTCTTTATAGTTGTACTCTCTGTCCTCAGCCTTCACTCTCTTGTGTAGACACTACAGGTGACACAGGACGCAATGCCACGGGTGTATTGCCTGCCTGCTGTGTCAAGCACACTGAATAAAGATCTTCGGCATAAACAAAAATAGGCAACTTATTGAGATGCTTTGTGCCTTGTTCCCTTGTTCCCTGAAATGGGGAAAGAACAGTGCCTTCCCTCTGGTGACGGCTGCGGGGATTATGTGAAGCAATGAACATACCTGGTATAAAGGTACTGGACAGAGTCAGGTGTGCCATTCTGAGGTTTGGTTTCAAATTCCCAAAGCCAGTTCTTTCTAGGCAATGAGAACCAAAGCAGAGGAGGAAACCCAAGCAAACAGTTCTGTTGTCAAACTATTTCCCTGAAACTGGGGCCCCTGCTATTAATCTAATCCCCTATCCCACCCCCTTTTCAAAAACAAATACACCTTCCAATTACAAACAAAAAGGAGCAGAGTGACATCGCAATAGCTGGCAAGGTTCTAAAGTCCATGTGTGAGCCCCTGCTGGCTGTTTGACCTTGGGCCTTGGTTTGCTCAATAAAGATGGTGCTTGAACCACATGACTGTTATATGGCATAAATGAGACAATACAAATATAAAGTGCTAAGCACACTGTAAGCACTTGCTTATTGGCTGTTATTGCTCTCGTTTTGAATCCTGGCTGGTGGCGGGGAGAGAGAGACAATAAATGGGGGTGGTACAACAGTTGTGAGCCTCCATCTCGACCAGTGATGGCGAACCTTTTGAGCTCGGCGTGTCAGCATTTTGAAAAAACCTAACTTAACTCTGGTGCCGTGTCACATATAGAAATTTTTTGATAATGCAACCATAGTAAAACAGAGACTTATATTTTTGATATTTATTTTATATATTTAAAGGCCATTTAACAAAGAAAGATCAACCAAAAAAAATGAGTTCGCGTGTCATAGGTTCGCCATCACTGACCTAGACCCTGCGCCCTGGACTGGACAGCATAGGAAACTAGGCCAATGCTTCTCAAACTGTGTGCTGAAGGAGCACTTTCTGTTGGCTTTTCCCCCAATCCAACCACGTGGGAGTGGTACGGTGCATAACCAGTGTGCAGCTTGTTCCACGTGCAACTCTCCACGCTAGTGTGACACACTCGTCCCGAGCGTTCAACACGAATCACAGCACCTCCTCTCAGCTTCTATACCTTCCCGTCATGGACTGAGAATCCTGATCTAGACTGTTCTTGCCCCTTCTCCTCAATCCCATTCAGAGAGAGCGAGGAACTGGCCGTGGTTAGCAGAAAATCAATCCAAGGAAAAATCAGAAAACTCAAGCTCAAGGACACATGAGGAGCACCCAGAAATAAGGCCGAAAGAGAGCGAAAGAGGGAACGGCAGCAGCACAGCCCAGCAGCACCTCCGTGGTCCCCATGTAGGGACAGGATTCACTGGGCTCCAGCGGGGATTTCAGGGTGCAGCCCGAGCAGCCTGCCCTTCCCGGGGGCTCCCTGACCTTGGGGCGGTCCTCCTTTCTCAGAGCCACGGCTTCCAGTTTGGCTTCGTACTCCGCTTGCACTTGGTCCCTCTTCTTCAACACGCTCTGTGGGAGGCAGAAAGGGGGAGCATGTCACACAGAGTTCACAGCGGGGCCTCCAAGCCCCAGGGACTGTGTCTTCACCCCCATCCTCCCAAACCATGGCGCCCAGGCCCAGCCACGTGCTCCTGGGACAGCTTGGCTGTGCGTGACATGTGGCATGGACTCTGGAGGAGGCAGAGTTTTTGTTGTTGTTGTAAGCTTGTTTACTAGTACTAATTCATGCGAACATTTTCCAACTGGGGAAGAGAGAGGGCCAAGCTGGTACAAAAGGCCTCCTAAGCCATGAGCTTAGGTGAGAGAGAGATTAAAGACTTATCCCCAAACCAATTCCAGTAGGAGACAATAACAATGCATAGAAACATTTTTTACTATATTTGAATAAAATACAGTCTTATCCATAATTTTCAAACTGATTTTCCACTTTAAGGAGAGAAGGAGAACCATTCTGAGACAGCTTTCTAGTAAGATAACTCGGCCCGCCCCTGAAAGTGACAGGATTCCGGGGAAGGGCAGGCGGGGTGACCAGCGCCAATCCATCGCCATGGTGATGAGAGGACTCCCGGCTGAGAGAATGGCGCTGTGCAGAAATGTGGAGCTTGGCAGGTGACGATGTACGAGGTTTTCTGAACTGTTCATGGGAAAGTCCAAGCCAAGAGAGCTGATCCCTGGCAGACTGATTTGCTCACTGATCCATTAGCCATTTACACGTCCTCCATGCTAGGCCTGGTATCCAAAGAGCCAAGAGGTCCAGTCTCTACCTGAGGGGTTCCGGAGCGGGGAGAGGTGCAGGCACCGTGCGAGGCTGCAGGTGCTCCATGAGCTGTGTGCAAGTCCAGGATCTCCGACAGCGAGCCTGCCAGAGTGAGTGGTAAATGGGCCCAAAGAGAGGCAGCAGGACGGAGCTCAAGTGACAAACCAGGTGCTCAGGACGCAAAATGGAAGGAGACGCTCACCCATGAGCGTGAGTGTCTCCCTAGATCACGGAGGCCTGGCTCTTCCACTGAGACACCAACAGGTAGACCAGAAAAGCATGCAGTTGACATTCTAGGGAAGCATCTGTTTCATCCAAGGGTTTCTCTTTTCTCCTTTTCATAGAATTACAGTGGCAAGCTAACAGTGGTAAGAATGTCCTTTCCCACTAATTCCAAAGTCACGTTGCTATAAAAGCTCCCGATCTTTCACTTCTCCCCAGTGTGGGGACGTTCCAGCAGAGCGCGAGGTCGGGCAGGAAGGCGCCGTTTCTTGGCTAAGCTGGGGGGTGGAGGAGCAGCTTGTGTCCCTGACAACGTGCTGAAAGGTGGTGAGTGACTCCATGGCTGAGAGCACTCTGGGGACAGCCTTGGAATGGAAATTCAACACCTGGAACCTTAAGTCTTCCCCCGAAGTAAGCGTTTATTGGAGATGTGTTTCACCGTGAGAAGAGAACACGAGGTCAAACCTGCAATGGCTTATTTTCCATTGTTTGCCGCTCATCTTTCTCCTATGTTCTCCCGAGTTCCCTCCCCACAGTCATCACCCTTGGACAGAGAGATTTCCAGCACTGCCTTCTAGAATGTTCCGCTGCGAAGGGCATGTTCTATAATGTAACACAGTGAGCCTCATGTGCTGACTGAGCTCTTAAAATATGGCTCATATGATTGAGGAATCGGATTTAATTTTTATTTAACTGTATCCGATTTGAATTTAAACTTAGTCACCTATAGCGAGTGGCTGCATAAGACTAGAGAACCACAAAACAAAACAATCAGCGGTCCTTTCTGGACTTCATAGAGCCCAGGAAACATTCTAAATGCACTAGTCTGGTACCAGCAGCAATAAAAATCACAGTCTCCATCCCAGAGATATAAGCAGGATGCTGTCCTTGGAGACACACATGTGGTCCCGAGGGGCAATGAGACAGCAGGGAGGGGCGCTGGGATGCTGATCACTGCCACAGCCTGCCTTCATAGGTGCCTCACACCTTATGGGGAAAAGCACACATAGCCAGTCGAGGGGTGGGCACGCGGATGAGTGGCCCCTGTCACACATCCTCGGTCAGTGTGGCCAGAAGAGGAGGGATGGTGAGAGAACAGCCCCGGCGCCTCTCCTCGCCCTGCCCCACAACAGGCGAGGGCCCCAAGGTTCAGCCACACTCCCTCCCCGCGTAGCTCGGGCCTTCCCTGCCCTCTGTCTGCTCAGTCACTGTCACCCTTGCTTCTCCCGAGGCCCCCCGCAACACATACACACAAACACACATCACTGGGCAGCAGGAAAAACTCACAACAATGAAAGCCGCAACCACCCTGCAGGGCTGAAAGGGTACTGCCCCATTTTCTATGGAGAAGGCGAAGGTCCAGTGGAGGGACCCACTGAGGCAGCCATTGGTTATTACCATAGTGCTGACTCACCCGGGGTTTCCCAGTCTGACTGCAGGCCAATCACAAGAAAGGTGGGAGAACACGTTTTGAAGCAAGAGAATCTGTGTACAACCACCATCCCTGTTCAGACTGGTGGTGATGGTCTGAAAGGACTGCTCTCCCACCCAAATACTGGCTCTGTTGACAAAACTGGTCAACCAGCCTGTGGCTGATCAGGCCTCACCCTGCAATGGGGTGAAAGGGACAAGAGACCAAGGCGGCGTTGGCAGAGAGGTGTCCCCATCACTGAGTGACAGCAAAAGGTACTCATCCTCTGAGCTTCCCACAGAACTTCACAGGGATCTCTACATCTAGTGACACCAGAAACCAGAGCGGTGGTGTGCGTGTGTGGAGAAACTTTCCCCGGCACCTCCTCTCCACAGCCACCCGCACCCCGTTTTTGTGCTGCCTCAAAGTTTCCTCATTCGCCTCCCAGGTGCTGGGGATGCAGCAGGGAACAGAACCACAAAACCCTCTCCTTCATGGAGCTTACCCTAGAGGGTAGGTGGGCAGTACACAAGTAAAATATATTCATACAGAGCCCATGAGGCAGTGCCAGGTGTTGGGAGGAAAGTGGAAGGGGAGAGGGGGGTGTAGAGTGCCCAGGGCTTGGAAGATGACAGGATTGTTCACAGGGTGGCCAGGGAGGGCCTCAGGGACAACGTGACTTTTAATTCACAACATGGAATCAATCCCTCTTGAACCCTGTATTTTTTTTTTAACCTTGTATTTTTTTTAATATGGAGCAGTTCATCGTGATTTCAAAGTGTTCCCAGTAATATGGAATTTCACTACCTTATTTTCAAATACAGAGAGGGAAAATGACTCCGTTTCTTTAACAAATAAATTGCAAGGAAAAATAAATAGATGGGGAGGGATTTTGAAAATATTTTAAAAATGTATGAATTTTATTTAGATCCCGCTTTGGAAAAAATATATAAAAACAGCATCTGAGACAACTGAGGAAACTGAATACTAACTGGATATTTGAGGAGAATGAAAAAAGAAATTTCTTTAGCTGTGATGATGACACGGTTCTTTCTTTTTCAAAAGAATGCTCGTATTTTAGAGAAATGTACTAAATGTTTTTGTATGAAATAACATGATATCTGGGATTTGCTTTAAAACAACACAGGGGTGGGAACTGGGAACGTGTGGGAGCAGGGCTAGAACAAGATGGACCATGAGTGGCCAGCTGCTGGAGCTGGCTGATGGTACAATGGGGAATTGTTATATTTTCACTCTACTTTGAATATGTTTGAATTTTTCTATAATAAAAGTTAAGCAATGGAAACATAATACTTGCCATCCAAGTGTTTCATCGAGAAACTAATAACAGTCATTATACTACAATGACAAAAGTGTCTGGGAGCTGGATTACAGATACCTTCTGTGGTTTGGCTTTCAACATCTCCACTGGATTCTTTCCAAGAAAGTGCCACAGTGGTTAGTATCGACCGGAAAGCTCAACACTTCCCTCTCCACCCCCAGTGCTCATGCTCATACCTTCCTCTGGGGCAGCTGTGGGCTTACAAACTTGTAGGGGGAGAAAGAGGCAGTCCAAAACTAGCCCCAATGCAATAGGTGAGCAGCTATTAAAAGAAAAAAGAAAGAAAAAGAAAAAGAACAAAAAAGCAACCTTCCCAAGTCCAGAAGGTTTTCAAGCTCCGAAATATTCGGATGCAGGGTGAGAAAGTATATGAAGCAGCAGGGACAGCTTGGCCGTGCATAGAGAATTAAGAACAGAATGGTTCATTCTCTGGTCAGGGGCTGACAGCCCAAAAGACCCCAGAGGAATTCATGTAAAATGAGTGTTTAGTTTGAAAGAAAGAAGCTCAAGTGCTAATAAAAATCAAATACCGAACACAGCCCTGTAGCCTACTTCTGGGTGGCTCTCTAGGAGAGCATTTACCTACAGGCAGGAAAAGGAGTCTGACTTGGTACTGATAACGTCATTTATGATTAAACTAGAGGCACAGTGCATGAAATTCGTGCATGGGTAGGGTCCCTAGCGGCTACTGGCTGCCAACCAGGGCCTCCCTTCCTATGGCTGGCCGGCCAGCCCTGCCCTCTGGTCAAACTCCAGTTGAGGGGACAATTTGCATATTAGGCTTTTATTATATAGGATGATGAAATTTAAGTTGCCCCTTTCAACATGCTCCTTTTACACATTTGTTCTATTGAAAACAGGATCACCTGTGAGTTCAATGTTCTAGGACAAAGTTGGTAATACTGGAACCATATATTTCCTCCTAATTTTAAAAGATAGTTGTTACAGAAAATTTGGAAATTAAAGAAAAATGTAGAAAGGGGTCAGGGGAAAGCATCCCTAAATCTCATCTTTCAGGCACAAGAGGTAGCACATTATGTCTCCACTTCTCGTCTCTTATCTTGAATGACTTCTTTGATGCTCTCCGATGTCCGTTTTCTCTTTTTGGCACTTCTGTTAGTTATTCAGATGTTGAATTGTATAGTCTAGTCCTCTCGTTTTCATATATTTTCTCTCCAATCCTCGATCTGTTTTTTCGTTTCACTTTATATGTGATTTCCTTAATTTTTTCTTCTAACTCTTCTATTGATTTTTTTTCATTTCTATAATGATCTTAA